TGTGGCGTTAACTCGCGTGTTTCATTGTGGCATCAACTCGCGTATTCGTAAGCAAAATATTAAGATTGGGTACTAAGTTAAAATATAGGAGTGGTACAAGATTGAAATGATGGATAAGCTTAACGAATAAACACTACTGAAGATCAGTGGGGATATTGACAGACTAAGTCTGAAGGCCAAAACGACACAGATATAAAAGCTCGAAGTAAAAACTTGAAAAACGGAGGAGTTGTTAAAGATACATGACAGAAAGAAATAAGGAAGGTAATGTTTAAAAATACATAATCAAAATACAAGCAAGAAAATGGCTAAGTTTTTGGCAGCCTTCACTTCGGGACCGCCGCGTCTGCTTCACTTCGATTCTCAGCATCTGGAGGGGACGGTGAGACGAGTTCCGGCTGTACATCGTTTGGAATGGTCACTGTCCCAAGGGCCCCAATGTCTCCGGCGAAGTCGGTAATGGCCCCTTGACGGGAGAACTCTTCGACGAGGCCTTGATAAACCGGCCTCCACCATTCTAAGTTGGGATCTTCATTAACATCCCCCTCAAAACCCGGAATCACGTCGTCGGGGAGGTCCTCCGCCAGTTCATTCTCCACCAACGGGAACTCGATGCCGGCACCGCCCAACCTCTTCCGAACAGCCGCAACCGCCGACGAAAAGAAGAAACGAGCTAAACCTGAAGCTTCTCGAGTAAAAGTGGTGGAACGCCATAATCGGTGAAAGAAGCGGCGAACAAACTCCTCGATGAAGCGAAGACCCTCAGGCGACCCCGGGAACAACCTTTGCCCCTCTTTCACCCCTTCGGTGAAATTAGTGGAAGCCTGTACTCCAGCTGCGAACAGCTCGTTGGAAAGCCCCTTAGCTTTCTCCTCCAAGCTGGCATTGTGGGATACAAGGGAGTCTTTTTCAGCCTCAAGGATTTTCTCTCTCTCTTTCAGCCTCTTCACTTCGGCAAACAGCCCCTCCTTCGATGACTCCGACATCCCCAGACTCTCTTTCAAGCCCCGGACTTCCTTCCGGAGCTGAATCACCTCTTTCCTCTGATTATCATACGCCTCGCGCGAGACATCATCCCACCCCAGGGGACCCGAAAAGGCGATGGCGAATTGCTGCACTCACAAAGAGGTTAAATAGAGTTAATCTTAAATACAAGATGCAATGGCAAAGACCGATTCACAAGAACAGAGTGAAACAAACCTATGTAATGTTATGAAGAAGCAACTCAAGTCGGTCGCCCTTACTCATTTGCCCGAAGTGGGCGACATCGGTGGGGAATGCCAAGGACCGGCACGCAGCAATAGCGTTTTCAGCATTCCGGCAGAGGTACAGTCCAAAGTCGGCCGGTAATGATGACCCAGCCGCCCCAAGGGCCAACTCAGACCTCCGTTTCTTCGGAGCAGGTTCTCTCTCTACCACCTCTTCGGTTGAGGAAGGAGGCGGTGACGAGGCGAGAACTATTGCGGAGGATTGTTTAGGAAGTTCAGAATCCTCAGTTCGCGAGGGAGGTCCACCGCGGGCGCGAGGAGGAGCGGCGCTTTTCTTCGACGGCCTGGGCCTTAGAGCCCCTTCTTCCGAAGATCTTTTCTCGGATTCAGCGATTAGAGGGCGCTGAAACTCGGACGCCCCGAACCCAGGTTCCGGCTCGGAGGGACGGGTAGCCGGCTTGTCACCTCGGAACATCCTCTTCATCCTTAGATCTACGCACCAAAACAAACGGGCAAGGAGAGATACGTGGGTGAGAAACAAGACATACAAGTACATAACTAGCGAAGCAACAAAAAACAAACCGACCAAAGTAAGACAATGAGTCGAAGTAAGAATTAGTGTTATAACCAAACCCACCTAAATCTTCCCGAGTTAGAGAATACGTGCCGTTGTCGTGAAAACGGAAGTGGCGAAGCATCGGCGGAAAGCTGGTGAGGCTATCCGGGACGCCGTGGCTCGATTGAAAGTGGGATATCATTTTTAACAAACATTCGTCAACCGCCAAAGGTTTCCCCCTTTTCTTTTCGGGCAGGGTGGCGAGCCAAGGACACAAATAAGGCGTGTCAACAGGATTTCTGGCAAAGAAATAGTGACCTTGCCACCCATCGGTTTTATTAGGTGGCATCAGAATCTTAAAACCCGGACGAGCCGAGATAGAGACATGGAAAGGACTCGAATTCTTTAATACCATTACACTCCGGAAGCGAGCCGGTGTGGGAATCACCCCCGACCAGGCGCACAACATGCGAAATCCGGTCATGATTATTATGGCATGGGGGTGGAATTGGTTAAGGGACACGTTACATAATTGGGCAATCTCGGAAAACCAGGGCGAGATGGGAAAAGACAGACCGAAATAGAATTGCTCTGAAAACCAAGTACTAAAACCTAAAGGAGGGTTTAGAGGGCGATCATCTCGCGAAGGTAGAATCAATTCGACATCGGTAGGGAGGCCTATGTCGCGAACTAAGTTAGTTAGATCTGTCTCGCTTAAAGTACTAGGTCCCCATTGGTCATCCAAATCTCGTCCTTCAGATAAGGAAGGGGAACCACTCCTCGCAGAAGACGAAATCTCTTTTCTGCCCCTCTTCTTGGGCCGTTCTAAGAGTTTGCCCGAGGGGGAGAAGTAGGGTCCCTCCTCCGACGAGGAAGAAATGGAAAGAGCAGGGTTTTCACCCCCCTCCCCGGAGGGCACTTTTTGGCCGAAAGGATCGGGAGAACGGGCAGACATTATCAATTCGAAGAGTAAAGGCGGGGGTAATAAGAGATGGGGGAAAGAAGTAGTACCTTTGTCGGGGTAGAAAATGGGCACGAAGGATAAGATCTCTGTCTCGGAAAAGCAGGTTCGCCGGAGAAGAAGTAATAAGAGAAGAGAAAGCACGAGGGTGGAAAAAGGAAAAATCTAAAAAAATGGCAAGGGCCAGGTATTTATAGAAGAAGAAAAAGGAG